GAAGCAAGTTCTTAGGAACTGAGTTTGTCTTTGTTTTCCAAGGGAGGGTGGAGGGCATGGCAAGGCAAGGTTCTATTCCCTTGGGTTGGAATACAGGAATGGCCCCGCTGCAGGAAGGGAAGCAGAATCGCTGGCAAGGTTGGCTGGCCTGAGTTCCCTCCAGAGCCCAGCCAGCCGTTGGGTAAATGGTCTGTCTCTGTCTCGGGGTATTGCGTTTACTTTTGCACCAGGGGCAAACAGCAGTCAGGGGCCTTTCATGCTTGTTCTGCAGTCCTAGAGTGAACTTGACCCTTAGATTAGCAGAGTTCAGGATATCGGTCCTGTTAGTTTCCAGTAGTAGGGGATGTTGGGAGAACCCTTCAAGCACAGCTTTGCATATCAAATAGAATTCATTTCCTCCTCTGATCTTCCAACTGTTCTCAGGAGTAAGCCTACCGGTTGAACTTCAAGAGGAAAGGTGCTGTTGGGAGCCCCCGTCTGAGCCTCTACACCTGTGGGCCAGATGTACGCGGCCCTTCTGGCAAAGCCTATCTATCCAGCCTGGTGCCCTGAGAATATAGCTTCAGCGGCAGCTGGGTTTGCTTTTCCGTGTGGGTGAGCAATAGCATCAGAACAGTCCACCCATAGATTCTTCTCAATAGATCTGGTTTTCCACAGAGGTTTGTCTTTGTTCTCTAAGAATCACAATCACTAGGTGTGTGGGTCCGATGGGGCGGTTCAGGTGAGCTGGGGGAGTTCATGCCAGAAAACTCCAACACCATGTGGGGACCTGTGGCTCTGTCAACGGTGCCCAGTGAGAGGCCATTCTGTGGGGTGGCAAGAAGCCTCAGTGGATTCTGGGAGAACAGGATTGAGAGCAGGAGGACAAGGTCATCCGACTTGGGTTTCATCCCCTCTCTCCTCTCCCTTTTCTGTTGGGTGCCCTGATCTGACCTGAAGTTCAAAGATGGTTAGGTGAATGCCATCAGTTGTTGTAACAAACTCATTCCCTGTGACTGGAATATACACTATATATGACGTCTGCTGTTGAGCACTCTATTTCTAATCATTGTAATTATGCTGGAATACTTGCTGTTCATATAATAACCACAATCCACCAGCTCTCCATTCCAGACCAATAACTTTGCCTGAATGTGCTCTTTGTTCAGGAAAAAAATAAAATAAAAAGGAGGTAATTTAACATCCCTGGTGATAGTCAACAAAGCCAATGTTGAAACCAGAAGATGCACAGATAAAAGCTTTCCTGGGGACACAAGGTGTTGAGCAGATGAAAGCCACCTGGTTCACTCACTCTGGGATAACAAAAGGACCCTGTCTGCAGCCTCCACTGAAAGGGTAAAGAGAAATGAGAACCTAGGGACTTCCAGAAGAATCCACTGCACCTGTAATCCAAAAGACTTGGGAGACTGAGGCAGGGGAATTGCAAATTTGAGGCCAGTCTGAACAACTTAGCAACATACTATCTCAGAATAAAATATAAAGAATGTCTGGGATGTAGTGGTAAAATACCCCTGGATTCAAGCCCTAGTACTACACAAAATCAATCAGTCAGTCAATCAATCAATCAATCACCCATGGGGGCTGGTCTTGGTCTAGATGTCCAGAGGAGCTGCTGGCTCTAAGGCTGAGTGAGTGAGTCATCTTATTAGGCACAGCTGGGAGACTGAAGCCTTGATGTGGCACTTGTCCTATAAGAATACTTCTTGGTCATTGATTTTTCTTAGGAACTTTCCTGATTGTTTCTACTCACCATTGCAAAAATTTGGAGATCATGTGGACCAAGGGCCTCACTTTATGGATTTCTAAACACAGATCTACAGATCCCTTATACACCTTGAAACCTCGGTGGCTTGCACATGCAAAATACTCAGGGTGATGGAGGGTTACATGATGGTTGCTCTAGTTGGGATCTGGGATGTCCTCCAAAGGCCCCCGTACTTAAAGGCTGGCTCCCCAGTGTGGCACTATTGGGAGATGGTGGTGGAAACTCTGAGAGGCAAGTTTTAGGTAACTGGGTGCCTGCACTTGAAGGGGATTGTGAGATGCCATTTCTTTTTCACTTCCCAGCCACCACGAGGTGAGCACTTTGCTCTACCATGTGTTCCTTGCCATTAAGAGCTGCCTCACCACAGACCCAGAAGGAATGGATCCATCCAACCATGGACTGAAACTTCCAAAACCTTTCCTATTTGTAAGTTGATCTATCTCAGGAATCTGCTGCAGTAGCAGAAAGAGGATTTACACAGTAGCAAAACTTCAGAGTAACATGTTGTGAGTGTGTTCTTCCCCTGGAACAGAGAGAGGACACTGGTGTCTGGGGGCTTCCACAAAGAACTTTTGGATTCATTTTATTTTTTTTCCCCTTATTTCTGCTTCTATCTCTGCCCTCAAACCAAAAACAAAAAAATCAAGGAAAATTTTTTTTTAAAAAATTGCTTCACTTTCACTAGTAGCCAGAGACTTTTGAGTTTGGAAGACCATGACCTTCTTCCACTGACGCAGAATGGTTAGTCAGTCAACAGTTTACAAATATATATTTGCTTATTTCCCCTGTAGTACATTCATCAGGAAAGTAAATGTACAACATCCATATATGGTGGTCAACTCTTGCTTCTCAAAGTTCACATTCAAAATGGCGCTGGTGTTGAACTGGAAGGGTTGGACCAGGATTATACCTTTCTCTTAGAATAAATAAACATTCATGATAAAGAGGAGCTGAAGTTCATTCATGGGACAATGTGATAGGGAGACCTGGGTGATTCCACGTTACCCTGGAGCCTCTCACTACAATGGCCTGCCAGCCTACCGTGGTGCAGTTCCAGGGAAATGCAGGCGTTGAAGGATGCCAGTGGGAGGGAAGTCCATCTCCATGTCTCTCTACCAGCCATATTTCTCCAGGCATTTCCTCTTTGGGGAAGCCTGGCATCAAATTCTCTGAGAGGCTGTGAGTCCCCCCAGCTTTTGCCAGTGCCAGGTAGAGAAGGGACACTGTGCCTGACTCAATCTTGGCCCTGAAGGGAGCATTCTCCTATTGTGATCCCTGGATAGTGCTGGGAAACATGGTGGGCTATTGCTTTGTTCTCTTCTGCTTTTTTTTTTTTTCCTTCTTTCTGAGCAGCAGATGCAGGCTCCTTTAGTACATTTAAAAGAAAGAGACTTGGTATACAAGGAGCTAACGAGGAAAAAAAAAAAGAGCAGAAATTGCTAACCACCTTCAGGTAATTAAATGACCGTGGGTTTCTGAAATCCGCCCAGTGTGGCTCAATTATTTTTGTTTTTATTTTAGCCTCCACACATAACACCTCCACCAGATGCACAAGTCTGGAAAGATGGAGAGAAGCCACAACCGTTTTGACTCGACTCCCAACGAGTTCTGTGCCAATTTCAGATGCAAAGAAGAGGCTGCTTCCTGGGGCCATGTCCCCTGGCCTTGGGGGATCAACAAGCCCTTCTGCCTCCGTCCCCAAGATAAGAGGCCAGCTGGGCTGATGAGACTGAGTAGCCTTTTACCAGCTTCTCATGCCAAAGGTGTACCAGCTGCTGTCTGAGTCATGTCTCTCCTATTACCTTAAATCCATCCTGTCTTTGTTAAAGAGCAGTGGAACACACACACACACACACACACACACACACACACACACACGAAACTCCTACTCCTACTTAAAGCCACTTTCTTCCCTTTTCCTGATTACAAATCAGGGGAGCCATTTTTAGCCAGACAGACTCCACTGCAGAGGGAGAGGGTCCTGGGTTGGTGGCTTCCATACTTTCTTTTGGTTTCCAACTGAAATTTGCCAGGAACTTTCTAGAAGTCAAGACAAAGCCTCTTTCTAGCTTTCTAGACTGATGTATCCAGCAGGGGTTGTATGTATGGAGAGACCCAAAGAAAAAATAAAATAAAAAGCAAAGAGTGGGGGGATTTCCAAGGCCTCTTGTCATTTAATTGATGGAGGTTCTCAGATTTCTGCTTTTCCTTTGTTCTCCTTCTTCCCTACTCAGTGGGGTCATTCTGTCCCCCTGAAACCCTCACCACACCTTGCCCTTACCTCTAAAATGGGCTGCTCTGTCCCTCCCCCAGCCCCCAGAGGCCTCCACTCAGCCATCAGGGCCCAGGCAAAATGGGCCTTGGGCTTAGCATTTCTGAGCGCTCTGGACAACTAGCCGTGGTCCCTCTGGAACAGGTGAAGGGTCAGCAGGTGTGGGGATGAGCTGTGTATCCATCTTTCCTCTAGGACACAGGTAAAAGAGCTTCCCTCCTGCCATTAAGGGTCTGCCCAAGTTGGGGTTCCTGGCCGGGTCCTGGTCTGGGAGAGGGGGTGCAGACCATGAGGGGACTCTCTGGTCTTGCAATGCCCTTGCCTGTCCCTCAGGTGTCCCTGTGCCTTCTGCATCAGGACAGTGTGCTGCGCTCACAGCCGTGGGGCTTGCTGCATGGTCACAGCACCTGTGCAGGTGTGTGAAGGGGGCTGGAAGGCACTTCCAAGTCTGGGCTGGGGGGTTGAAGGTGCTGGGGGCTGTTGGAGCCAGCACTGGCTGAGAGAGTGGACAAGGCTGGCAGGGAAGCCGTGTGGTGTTGCTGGAGAATTCAGTGGAATCTAACCAACACCGTATACAGTCCTATTTACATTATTATCTATCTCTCAATTCTAGATAGCAGCTCTTTAAAGCACCCACTCTGTTGAGAACAACGGGCCCAGGAATGGGAGTCACCAGAACTGGAATTGTTCTAGAACTTTCCTGATGTGTGGGGATCCTCCTGGCTAGAGTGACCTGGGATGCCCCTTTGAAACAAAACATCCAGGTGGACCCTCACCCAGTCAGTCCCCACACAGTCTGTCTTGTTCTCTGCTTTTGTGAAGTGTCCCTTGAAAGCCAGGCCTGGAGAGGAACAGGGAGGTACTGGGGGCTTTCCCCTCCTTCTTCCTCCTAAAGGAAGGCCTGCCTTGGGTATTCCGGGCTCAGAGCAAGCGGTGCTCACCCCTCGGCTGCCAACCACCTACCTCGGGCAGCTTCACGCGGCCTTCCTGGAAGGAGCAAGTCTTGGGGTCATGGGTGCAGACGTGCCGATATTTACACCAGTGGCAGCGGTACGGGCTCTCCACGCAGGACAGGCACCTGGGCACAGAGGAGAAGAGGCACACATCATAGAAGCTGGGTGACCCCAAGCCCAAGGTCCAAGTCTCTAAGATCTGGCAAAACATTTTAATATTAAGAGACCCCCCCTTCAATGCTCAGCATCCAATACAGAGCCATCCCTCTTCTCCCCAAGGCCTCAGGGAGCTAATAGTGCTCAGCCTCTTGCTGTTCACTGAGAGCTGAGAATGCTGCTCTCCCCAAAGCCCAATCATCTTTCCTCCACCTCCGCAGGGTGATAGTGTCCTTTGATGAAGAAGAGAATGAGCACATCTAGAGTTGAGGACCCTGTCTAGAAGCCACAAGATTTGGGGCAAGCTGGGTGCCATGGCACACACCTGTAATAATAGCTACTGGGGAGGTTGAGACAGGAGGATCACAAGTTCAAGGCCAGTCTGGGCAACTGAGCCGGACTTTGTCTCAAAATTAAAAATAAAAAGGGCCGAGGATGAAGGTCAGTGGTAAAGCACCACTGGGTTCAATTCCCCAGTGCTAGGGGGAAAAAAAGAAGAGTTGGAGCAAATGCAAATTCAGATTTTAATTCAAATTAACCCTGGGTCTCAGCTGTCAAGGGTCCACATGGAGCCAGCTACAGGCAGAAGCTACAGGCAGCTCTCACAGTACATGACCTCCTTCATGGTTGTCAACCCCACTTCCACCCTTTACCTCCAGAAAACAAAAGTCACTTATAAAAGCTCCTTGTTGCTTAAAAACACGACGAGTTTCCCTGTTGTCAAAAACTCATGTCTTGCTACCGGCTGAGCCCTAGCCAGAGGAAAAGCCACAGCCCACACGGGGTCGGTGCTGTGGCCAGGAGGAGACCCGTATTTCCCATGCGCTGTTCTGCGGTCTGGAGGACCTTTCTCATTCCTTCCACTCAGCCACTCTTTGACCAAGGAGAGTTGGCCACTCTGGGCCTCCTCCCATGAACCTTCATGCTGACATGGAAAGGGCAGTCCTCACACCTCACCGTCTCCATCTTCCATGAGTATCCTAGGCCACCAAGTCCTGGAGGGCTGGGGTTGAGTCCTTGAGATACTTTAATTTTTGACTCCTCTGTAGCTAGTGGGTAACAGATTGCATGACACACAGTGATACTTAGAATCGTTTTATGGGCAGGATGGAAACTTCATACATGACTTCATCTACCTCTGCTGCTTTCCTAGGGGGAAGAAGTTGAAGGAGGCCACCAGAGGTGAACCAGAAGAGAATCCCGGTGCCAAAGCAACTTTCTCTGGGCTGGGAGGGGCTGGATGGTTCCTTCCTTAAGGCCACAGATAGAGCTAAACTTGGGACCAATCTGCCCCAATTAGATGGACAGACTCTAAAATTCCACCAGCCTAGAGTCTAGAAATGTCATTAGTCATGTCACCCACCCATCCTGCGTAGAGGGGAACACAGAACAGCATGCTAAAGTGAACTGGGCTTGGATGTCAGGCCTGTGGTTCTCAAACCATGGGGATTCTACAGAACTCATTTGGAGAACGTATGAAGAGTTGTGTGCAACTCTGAGAGAGAGGGGTTCCAGGTCCCTTCGGCTCTCCACCAAGTAGCTCCTACTTCCTTCTATTTTATATTTTGGACGTCCACATCTACTTTCAGTTGAAGAAAATTTTCTATGATGAAAAATAAAAAAAGGCTTGTCCACCTACAACTTGGTCCAATCCCATTATTTATTTATTTATTTATTTATTTGTTAGTTCAGGGGATTGAACTCATAGGCACTTGACTATGAGCCACACCCCCAGCCCTTTTTTGTATTTAGAGACAAGGTCTCACTGGGTTGCTTAGTGCCTCAATTTTAGAGGTTGGCTTTGAACTCGTGATCCTCCTGCTTCAGCCTCCCGAGCTGCTGGGATTGCAGGTGTGTGCCACTATGCCGACTAATCCCATTAATTTTATGGAGGGAATAATAATATAATAATAGTAAAAACAGGGGCAGTACCTAGCCAACAAGCCAGGCAGGTCCTACGTGCTGCCCTCTTACTCAGGACAAGCAGGGCTGCTATGCAGGGTGACAATAAGCGCGGTGTCCAGCTCGTGCCTGCTCTGATGGGACAGTGCTCCTGTGACGTCAGTTGCTAAATATTTGAGTGCCAGCCTTGGAGGAGGTGCTCCTAGTCCCCTGTTTAGAGAGGAACTGGGGCACAGAATGGCTAAGGTTCCCAGCCTGTCTGACTCTGGGGCCTTAGTCCCTGCCCTCCATGCGTGTCTCCTGGAGATGGGTGTTAATGTCAAACAAAGTCGGTGCCAGAACCCGGCTTCCTGGCTTCTCAGGCCAGGGTCTGTTGAGCCTGCAACTTTCTGCTCCCCTCTGGTCCTTGCCACCCTGGTCCCAACCAGGTCTGCAGGTGAGTGGCTAGACTACCTGCCAGCTTTAGGACACACAGTAGACTTCTTTTCCTCCTCCAGCCCCCTTTCTGAGCATGGTGCTTGCTGCTCTGTTTTTCTGGTGAGATGGATGACACCCAATAGATGATGGGAATGAAACTGGTTAAAAAGATTTATGCCAGGGAAGATGCATGGAGGGATTTGGAGAGCCCGCCCTCAGGTTCTCACTCTATGCTCTTTCTTGTTTCTGTTAATCCTGTAAGTAATGGAGGAGAGCTTTGGAGCCTCCACATGGTGAGTCCTGGGAACACTGCTGGGGTCTTCTAGTCTCTGTATGAACTTTGACCCCGGTTGCTGAGTGCGTCTGGGAGCACTTACGAGTTGTGCACGCTGCAGTTGTAGAAGACAAAGCTGGTGCTGGCGAAGGTCATGCCTGTCTCCTTGGACTTGAGCTGAAGTTGTACGACATGGTGGTCTCCTACAAAACAGAGCCAGCCAAGAAGTCAGGGGAAAGGCCAAGGCCATGCCAGAGTTCCACTGGTTGTAAAGTACAGGGGACGGGGACAAGGAGATCCTGCTCCTCTAGGGTCTGTGATTCAGCAAGACCATCCCCAGACAACCCCCAAACAGCTCAGAGAGCTGTCCTAGCCTCTCCTCCCTTTTACACAGTGTTGCTTGCTCCCCCAAATATTCATTGCCTGCATGTGCACGTGCATGTACCCCCCTACACACAAACAGGTCTTCAAATGTGCATTCATTCTCATGCATTTTGTCCTTGCCAACCTCATAGAATTACAGACACACTGAGGAGCAACCAGGGAGAAAAAACATGGAGACTCTTAAGAATACTGTCACCAACTGCACGTGTGGTTTTGCATGTGTGTGTGTAAGTGTGTGCACACAAGAGCTCTTTCCCCATCTCTATACAGAGAGGCCCAGTTCTGATGCCCCCTCCTCTGGGGGACTCAGGGCTCCATTGGGCGGGAGACATGGGGATCCTCAGCTGGTACCGAAGAGGAGCCGGAGCCCATGTTTAATTCACAGCCCTGACCCCAGGCCCCCACTTCCAGCCTTGTTTTCTGCCTTCCCGGAGAGCCTCATTAATCAATCAGCTCCAAATAAATGTGACAAGCCCAAATGGGAGGGACAACACAGAATCAATTAGCCCAGGCCAGCCTGTCCCTTGCCAGTGCTGAACCTCTGTCCACTCCCATTCTTCCCAGTGCAGCTGGCCACAGACAACAGGAAGCTGTGGGGAGGCAGGGTAGGGTGGGAGTGGGGGAGACAAGGGTCCAGGGTCAGAGACCCAGGTGTGTGAGCAGAGGGATACAGAGCCAGATGACCACTGCCCGCACATGCCAGGTCTTGACCAGCTTCCCTCTTCTCCTGTCCTCCAGGCCAGCCAGAGTGGGCTGAGCTCTGGTATGCTGTGCAGCTGGCCTGGCCTGGCCTCCACCCACCCTGTCTGCAGCTGCTCCTCACCTAGGATGATGCTGACTCTTGGATGCCAAACTGGGGCTGAGCTAAAAGGGCTGCGGCAGCCAATTCCAAGGGCAAAGGAGGGAAATTTCATTCCCTTTACTTACAACACACTCAATCACCCACTTCCTCTGGCCCACCCCTGCCTGAAGTCTCCCTCAATCCCCCCACATCTATTGTGACTTCTCCCATCCAGGCGGGGGGAAGACAGGCCTGCCACCCAGTTTGGCCTCCTGGGGCTACTCACCGTTCTCTGTGATGATCCGGGGCACCTCCTTGGCTGCAGGGGAATAACACTGGATCTGATTGCCTATCACCAGCCCATCCATCTCTGACAGGTCCTCAAAGGTGCAGTTGACGCCAGCTGATAGCTCCGGGACATTGTATGTCTCCAGGACCAGCTGTGAACAGAGGGGCAGGAGGAAAGAGAAGAGGAGAGGGGGTGGGGAAAGGAAGGGTGTGGAATAAAGGAAGAACGTGGGTGAGCAAGAAAAAGAGAGACAAAGGAGAGGCCATATTGACATGGAGGTTGGAAAGATCCAGTTTGTTATGAGAGGTGTAGGCAGGCGGCATAATGACAAGAGAAGAAACCTCATCAGAATCCAAATGGATTTGGCCCTAGGAGGTGGGAATATTGAGGGATTTGTGTGATCAGAGAGCTTCTCTTCCATTATTTCCAGTTTTGGAAAAATGGCAGCACCGATCACCAAGGACCCAGTGTTAGAGCCCGGAAGCCATCTGTGCCATTTCTCACACATGAAATGAAGATACATTCCCAATATCCTCGGCCATTCTTTTGGGTCAGCTCTGGTCTGATCATTTTCCTTGTCTTTCTACTCATTTGGAGGAAAGCCTCTCTCCCAGCGCTCCTGCCCCTGTGCCCTTCTTGGGTCCTTAATGAACCCCTAAATCTCCTACCCTCATCTAAGTTGCTCTTGTCAGCTGGACTTGGCCCAGCTCTCCTGAGGGTCCCCAGGCTCAGGTGCTCTTTGAAGGGGAGAGTTCTTCCCCAGACCCCAACCCCATGGTCCTTACCAGCACGTTGTACTGAGAGACGGAGATGTTGTTGGGATGGACTGTCAGCCGGACACACTGCTTCATCTCTGAGGCAAACCTGCGGGGTTCCCTGGACCGCTCACACCTCTCCTTCCGGGTGCACCTGGAAAGGACATACTAATGGGCTACTCAGGAGATGACCGCTGGGTCCAGGGAGGGGTCAACACTGAGGTCAGGTCTTTCCAGCAGTTCTCAGGATCTGTCCAAATTCAAGTGCCTAGAACTGACCATTATGTTTCCTTCCTGAAGCCTGGTTCTCTCCCATCATGCCCCAATTTGGGGAAGACGGTCACTTTTCTCACTACTTGACAGTTATCTTAGATTCTTCTCATCTCTTCTAAACTCAGGTGAGGAGCGGCACAGTCCTGTCTACTGGCTCTCCCTACTCCCTCTTTTGGTCAAAGAGAGATGGAAGCTGTCAGGAGCTTTTACAGGACAGGAGAGAGGGTTTAGTGGGAAACAGAGTAGCCAGGGTTGGCGCATCCACACAGGGAAGGGACGTGGGCAGGGAGCATCTGTCTCAAGAGCAGATGAGTGTGATGAGGAAGCAAGGGAGCACAGGGATAACTGAGTGGCTCTTGGGGTAATTCTTGGCCCTGAGAAAAACCTGTGCTCCCAGCTATGAGGAAAGAAAACACCTTCAACCACAGCGGGAGAGCAGCCTGTGGTGAAGAGTCTTAGAGGAGAAACACCCATGAAGGGGAAGCCATGGATGAACTAAAGCTTTCCTCCAAGGATGAGGAGGAAAAGAGACAAAGAGGACCTTAGAGCAGGTTGGATGTGCAATGCAAATGTGAAAGCCTTATGCAGTCATGACTTGAGTTAATAAGTGCTTACTAGGTTCCATGACGAGGAGTTTACATTCTATGCCATTTAAGTCTGTGACAATATCATGACAAACCCACTTTGGAGATCAGGAAACTGCAGAAGAGGGTAGTAAGTAACTTACCAGGTGGCCAGCTAATCAGATGGACTCTGAATCTCTGCTCCAGCTTCTGGAAGCTTCTACACTGAGAAGTGGGAGATGGTCCCCCTGCTGCAGACTATACTTATGTTCCTTGTCATCCTGATGACCCTATCATGTCCTAAGGACAGTTTCAACCTTTCTCCTCCGTCTTTTTCTCTAGATTAATGGCTATTTCTGCCTCCTCCTGCAAAGCACTTTGAATATCACTGCCACTTGTTGGACAAAGCTGAGTTCTTCAGGAGGCTTCGAAGAGACTCCAACCCAGGAGGGAAAGGTCAGATGTGACTGTTCATGCCTGTGGCACTCCCGGGCTGCTCTAACAGACGGATGGCAACAAGCTTGCCTGCCTCCAAGTCTTGGAAGTTAATTTGCCAGGCCAACTGTTCTGCAAGGACTCCATTACCTTCCGCCATTAAGCTAATTTTAGGGGCTTTTCCAGAGTGTCTGTACTGACATCGCTATTAATAGTGTTATTACTCCCATTAAGAGTAGAACCAGAGAACTGGTACGGGCTTAAATTATTCACTGGCTCCCCAACTTTGAAGTTCCTATTTTCAAGAGCAATCAGTAGGTCTGAAAAAAATGCCTTTGATTAAATTATGGAGAGGAGAAAAAAAAATATGAAGCTACTTCTTGGCCAAACATCACCTGGAGTTATCAAATAAAGATTCAGATCGTAAAAGAGAAGACTCCGTCTTTCTTTCAGGGTGTGGGGTGCAAAGATGTCTGGTTGGGGATCTTAGGAGAAGTTTGACCAGCATCGTTTGCTGCTTGCAAAGTTCTTGGGGCTGCATCCTGTCTCTGCTCCTGAGGCCCTCACCTAAGTACTTAGCAACTCTCCCAAATATATGAAAGCCATGTGTAGTTTATAGTTTCAAACATCCCAACTAACTGTCATCTTGGCAAATTGCTTAACTTCTTGGTGCCTGTCTTCTCATCTGTAAAACAGAGTCAAAATAGTACCTAATAGGATTTTTTTAAGGATTAAATGAGATTATGTTCTAAGCATTTAGAACAGGGCAGCGTTCAAAGTGAGTCCTCAATAAACATTCGCCATTGTACATTAGCCATCTCTTCTCTGCCTTCCTCACTCCAACCCTCCAGACTACAGCTGAAGCAGAAGCACTCATCTTGCAGACTGGTCCCTGAGGCAAATTACAGAGAGAAGAAAGGCAGGGATGAGGCAGTCTTCCTCACAATGAGGGAGGAGAGCATCCAGGGACAAAGTGGTATGGATTGTAGCTTTGTTTTCTTAATAGCTGTCAAAGTGTATTGAGAACTCGGCTATCTTGGTGGAAAGTCAGGTTTAAGGTCAGAGACAGGGATGTTTTGACATTTCTACTATCCTTCAGGGCCCGGGAGGGTGGAGGCTGCAATGTCCAAAAGCACAGACAATTGACCTTAAATGTGATAGGATAATGGAGGGGAAGAATGCGTTCCTCCTTGATGCCTTATGGGGTCTGTCAAGGTAATGGCCTTTTGCTTTTCTTCTAGAACTGTGATTTCCCATTAGCTCAGGCCAGAGCTGAGAAACAGGCAAAGGGTTAATTCATGACCCCAGGAGGGGCGCTGAGATGTTTCCTTTCAAGGGGCTCCAGGAAAGTCTGAAATCAAGTCCCTCAGTTCCACTGTATGGTCAGCCTTGAGGAAGGACACTCTTGCTTCATCCATTTCCCAGGTAGGAAAACTGGGGCATCAATGGTCTAAGAAAATATATGCTACATGACTTTGAGTTTTCAGAAATTGGTCTCTTCCGCCATCATTGTTAACCCTGCCCCAACACAGACCTGCAGGAGGAAGCAGGCCCCACAGAGACACACCAGGGCCAGAGTTGGCGTTCTTTCCTGCTGAATTCTTTCTTCCCTTCCTTATTCCTTCCTTCCCACAGCGGCCCCTCCAGCCCCGGTTCAGAGGTACTAACAGCCCTTGAGGAGAAAGGCCCCGGGCCCCTGGAAGGGGTTATTATTCAAGTCAGTGGTTCCAATGAGATTATCCTCTCTAATGAAGCAGCTACCTCCGCCCTCCCCTAAGCCTGAACTTTCACTGCTGGAGAATTCCCAGCCAAGTGGAAAATTAGAAGAGAGAGGAATGGAGAAAGGAAGAGAGTGAGGGAGAGGGAGAGAGGGGGTGATTAAGTTCAGGAGAAATTAATTCCTAAATACAGAGATGGAAATATTAACACCCAGTGCTGCCGGCCAGGCAAACAAATTTCAATATGGAAGTGGGCCATCTGTGAGGCCAGCCTGGGTGGGCCTCCACGCTGGGAGGCCCTCACTGGTGCATCTCCCCAGGCCCACCAGTGTGGACCTACTGGGCTTGGATATCAGGACTTGCTCCTTCTTCACAGATGATCCCCAATTCCCAGTGCTTCACATGTGCCATGGCCTGAGCTTCAAGTGCACCAGTTCAGTAATCTGTGCTTAGAACGTAAGGAGACAGAAAAAGAAAGGGGATGTGGGGATGGGCCTTCCCAAATGGACATGATGGACAAGTGAAGAGGGTTTGGAATGCCTGCTCAGCAGGAGATCATGGGAGATCCTTTGGTCATTGGCATCTCATCTGGAGCCCCTGGAAAGGGGAAAGACTGGTTTCCTAAATGTTGCCCTTGCCCTCTTCAGGAATGCCCACAGAGAAGGGCAGGTGCATCCGTGGCTTGGAGGAAGGTGGACTAGATAGTACAGGGAACCCTTCTAGGAAGATGGATGTGAAAGAGGGTCCTTTTATGAAGGATGTGGACCAGGTGAGTCCTTTCAAAGTCAGAATTCTAAACTCCAGTGACAGACACCAGGATCGCATGGAATTCTGCGTTGTCAACTTGTTCCACTAAATACTGAGGATAAATCCCGACACAGGAAGACTGAGGCAAGGCTTTAATTTTCCTTCTACCACCAGCTGCTGGTGACTGAACCCACCAGCCCTTGGCCATTGCTGCGGATCCAAACTCAGCCTGAGCCACAACTGCTATTGGATTCATCCAGGCCTCCTGCAGGAGGAGGGCTCAGCACTAAACCGGAACCAGAGCTGCAGGGGCTACGTGGAGGCCATTCTGGGCTCATGTAGCAACCAAGTGGTCCTGCCCCAACTCTATCAGCTCTACTGGTCGGCTAGCTGCCTGGGTCAAGAAGCCATGCTCTGCCCTGGGGTCCAGGGTGGGTTCTTGCCTTGGCCACCTCTCAGCCTTCAGTCAAGAAACACACACACCCGCCCCACAACCAGCATCCTACACTGGGCCACACAGTGTGGAGCAGTCACAGTGAAAATTGCTTCCCTGCACCAAGCCTGGTGACGTTAATGGACCAGACTGTTGGATAAAGTGCAGGTGAAGCAGATCAGAATCAATCAGAGTAATTGTTAGAAAGTATCTCAAGTAATAGGCACATCCTCTCCCTTACCGTGTGCACTAGAAGGAGAATGGATTGTCAGGGAGGCACCCTTGCCTTCTCCTCCTTCTCTTTGCCTCCTTCTCCTCCCTTCCTCTCCTCTAACTCTCTCTACTCCTGCGCCACTCCCCACCTCTCCCATCCTAACCTCTCCTGAACCATACGAGAAATAAATTGTCCACACTGTGCTCCCTACTGACCAGAGAAGAGGGAAACGACCCCATTTGCCTTCTCTTTGGGTAACCACTCAGTATATTAGCATCCTGGCTAATCCATTCTCTTTCTAATCCACACAGTACCGAAGAGGATGTGCTTATTACTTGAGACACTTTCTAACAGTTACTCATCCGCTCTGCAGGATGTCCACAGGGAGTCAAGGCTTAGGGAAGGGGGATCACTCAAAGTGCAAGTGGACTGCAGGACTTTTCCAATTCATATGAGAAGATGGCACTTTTGATTTACCATCTTTTAGTATCTTCGGGATCAGAGGCTAACAACTTTGAGCAAAATGTCAGGAAAGAACACTGTCATGGTTTAGATAGGAGGCATCCCTCAAAGGCTCACGTGTGACACAAGGTAAGATGCCTTAGAGGTGAAATGATCGGATTTTGAGAGCCTTAACCTAATCAGTGCATTAATCCACTGATTGGGATTAACTGGGCGGTAACTGTAGGCAGGTCGGGGGTAGAGAGGAGGTGGATTTCTAGAGATGTGTCTATGGGGTTTATATTTTTTTCCACGTTGAAGAGAGCTCTC